CTGCATTTGTGTCAGATTTTTTTTCAAGCTTTAACTTGAGAAATTAGAGAAAAACGTAAATGTTATGACAAAAAATGTGACTTGTAAAGTCTTGTAATTTCACAGTGTTTTCTAAGTCAACAACTGGTTTTTAATAAAAGTGAGAGATGAACAGTCCATCTCCAAAACCACCAACTTCCTCTGGTCCCTTTCAGTTCTAACCCAAATAACTTCTGAAAAACTTCGGAAGTGTTGAGATCCTTCTTGGATTAGTCATTTCTACCACACAAAAGTACTATTTTCTGAACAATTACATCTCTCAGTACGCAGAGAGAAACTCTCATACCTGTGGCCCAACCAAGGACAGAACACATCCTCGTGAACAGACTCCCGTTCGGAAAGAGCTCGTCTGCCTCGGCAGAACCAAGACGCTGTGATTCTGCTCATTAGTCCAGAAGGGTTGTCTTTTTTACTTTATTAACTTCTTATTTTATGTAAAAAGAAAAAGAAAAAGAAAACCATATACAAAGAAAAGAGCAGAACATATTGGCAGTTATGTCTTATATTCCAGACCATTTTGGGTGCAATGACGACTGTTTAACAACAGGAATCTTCTAAGAACACAGCTGTGCCCCCTGCCTTTATCACTTAACCACACAGAACCAGCTCCTGCACAGACAGCCCTTCAGCTCACGTGCAAGGGGCTGGGGCTGGGGCTGAGGCGCCCGCCTGGTGGAGCCGGCGACACAAGAGCGCAGGGGCCACACGCAGCGCTCCCATTTGCTCTCCCGTTGCTGCTCCTCCAGACGCGGACGCAAGTGAAACCCAGAGAAGGAAGCAGGCAGCTCTCCAGAGGACAGGCCCAGAGCCTCGCCAGGCGCGGGCTCAGATCAGGAACCTCGCAGGAGCTGTCCTCACAGACGCAGGGCTTTGTGGAGTGGCAGACAACATCACCACTGAGGATGAAAAAAACATGAGGACACTGACACTTTGTGGAATATTCTTGGAAATGACTGGACTGACCCAGCCCTTAAGCCATGTCTGGCTTTGCTGTGTGTGTGGCACTGACTGCTCCTCAGGGCTCAGCCTTCCTTTCCTTCTGGGGCGGGGGCGTCACCTTGTTCTGGAAGCAGGAGGCGGCCCCTCCCAAGGAGGTCGCAGGACGCCTCCAGACAGATCCGTGTGCACTGGGGTGGGAAACCGTTTGCCTGCCAATCCCATTCCACAGCCTTTAGTTTCAGTAGTTAAGTAAGCAAATGATGGCTTACCATTTGAATGATAAAAAATCATTTTCTAAAAAGTTAGGGGTGTGAACGAAGCTCACTCTCAACATCGGGAAGATAATTTTCCTAGCAGGACAGAAGGGACAAGCCAGGGAGAAGGGGCCCATCCTCCCAGACGTGTCCACTGTGAATTCTTAAAATTAAATCTGCGCCCCACACTAAAGGTAAGGAAAACAGGGAGAGCAGAACACTCCTCGCTGAGTCAGAGGCAATGCTGGGCAACGGCGAGCCACACTCACCCCAATGCTGCCCACAGAGCATGACCGAGGGGCTCCTGCACCGGCTCTGGCTGTGGGCTGTTGCTGGCCCTGTCCCACCACCTGCCAGGCTGTGAATCCACAGCCTGAGAACACCCTCAGGCTCTTCTGAGTTCAGAGATGCAGACAGGGCTTCTTCATTCTCTACAGTGACTTTGCCAAATGAATGATCAAATTTAAAGGTAACGCTGACCCTGGAGGGAGCATGCTGGGGAGACTCGGGGATCCGGCTCCTGGAAGTCAGCACCGTGACCCAGGGTGGAAGCAGCAGATGGGTTCTGGGGTGTGGTGGGTGTCAGCTGCCATGGGTGGCAGGGACAAGCCAGCTCCGCCTGACCTTTGTCTCTCGGGTTTCTCCGTTTCCCCCCATGCGCACAGCCACCATCTGAGCCTGGCCCTTCCCTCTCTTGACTAGGCTATAACAGAAGCCTCCAGATGGGCCTCCTGCCGCTGGGCCCTGTCCCCTGTGGTTGAGGCCACGCAGGAACACAAGTCGAGTCTCACCAGCCTCTTCCTGTGACTTTCCAGTATGGCCACACTTCCCCCCCTTTTTGGAATTCTCATGAGACAAGTTTAGACATCATTAAACCACTCATATTTTCCATTTCTTTGTCTCTGAGCTATATTTCAAATTTATCTTCAATTTTCCCTTCACCTATGTCTAATCAGGTATTAATTCATTCACTGAGTTTTTCGTTTAAGTCCTTGTATTTTTCATTTCTAGAAATTCTTTTTTTTTTTTTTCCTTTTTGTCTTTTTTCGTGTCCGGCAATGGATCGCAACCCTCAGTGTCGCGCCCGTACCGGACCGGACTGGCAATGGGATCGCAACCCTCAGTGTTGCGCCCGCACCTCGCTCAGCCAGTGAGCGGGAACCGGTCTGTATGTGGGATCCGAACCCTCGGCGGGAGCGCCGCCGCACTCCCAAGCAGCTCACTGTAGCAGTGCGCCACCGGGCCGGCCCATAAAAATTCTATTTGGCTCTTTTTCAGACTGGCTCGGTCATTCTTTCTGGTTTTTACCTGCGTGGAATAGTGCCAGGCACTGCCAGCCCTGTGGCTCTGCTTCTGCTGCCTGTTGCTGCAACTGGCCCATGCACCTGCAGCTTTCCTTCCCCATGTACCTTGTATATTGTCTCCTCTGGGCTCATGTTCTTTGGAACTTTATATATGGGAATTCTTTGAGACCTGGATTGAAGGAGATGACAGGATTTGCTTTTGACCGGCACATCACTGCCTTGATGGATGTGGAAAAACTACTAATCCAGGAGTACATTAATTCATATGCGTGGATTGCGGCCTCTGAACCACAGATGTGCTGTGCATTCAGGCTGCAGACTCATGAGAGAGCCAATTTTTGGTTTCAAATATCCAGCACCAAGCGGAGACAGCAATTTTCCTTGCTAACTTCTTCTGTGGGCTGGGTTTATTTATCGTTGCCCTGCCAGGATGGGGCAGTGCTTGTGGGGGCGCCAGCTTGCAGGGCCCACAACATGAACAGAAATGCACCCACATTTCTTAAGCTGGGGCACTGTGCAGTGTGGGTGTATTTGCTTTTCTTTGCAGCCAGTTTTAACCCTCTGCTTATAGCACCTCTCTCTGGCATATTAGATAAGCTCTTAATAAATATTCATTGAACTAATGAATAAAGCAATACACAAACAATCAACAAGCTTATTCACAGGCTCTGTCAGGAAAGAGTGAATGGGCCGTGAGGAGTCGGAGGCTTCGCATGTGCTGAGTACCCATGTGAGTGGCCTTGCACGACAGCGCTTTAGGGGCTGCGCCCGACTCTGGTTGGCACACAGGGGCCTCCTGGAATGGACAGCATTGCTGCCTCAGTTTCTGCACATGGCTTTCAGTCCCCTCCTGCTCCAGAAGCACATTTTCTAGGCCACCCAAGCCAGAAGCCATGACCTCTAATTCTAAACTTCTAATTTTGATTCTAAACAGGACATGGGTCTGTGTGTCTCAGCCTTACCCAAAAGATGTTCCTGAATAGACCCCCGCCTCCTAGCCTAGCAGCTTCATGGACCTGCCAGCGGGGCCACAGCTCACGGTCCCTGGCCTCTAGCATTGTGCTGTTTGAGGCAGAAAGAACTTTCCTCAAATGAAGCTGAGAATAGATTTTTGAAAGGCACAGTGACATTTCTTTCCGTTTTTCTTCAGTAGAAACCACCACCCTGGTGTCATCTCCATCATCAGCCCCAAGAGACGCTCTTTCAAGGCTGACTCAGCTCCTGATTATATTCCTCAGGTGCAGTTCTCTTTGACAAATATTTCAAAGAATCTGAGTGTGCATTAAAATAGCACAAACAACTGTGATCGCCCGGCCTCGGAGCAGCACACAGGAGTGGCACTGGCAGGGACGGTGCAGATGGGGGAGAAGGAGATGGTTTCAGCCTCTCTTGGGGCAGGAGAGCCTTAATGGTTTCCTAAAATTAAATTCATTAAGTCATCAGAATGTGTTGTCTGCTCCCGCGTAGAAGCAATATGCAAGGATATAATTCGTCTGCTAAAAATGTTCTCGGAATCAAAGTAGCTGTTTTGATGAGACCACACAGCCCATAATTCTAAGCCCAAGGGTGGAGTCGCTGTCTGCCCAGAGTTGTCTCCTTTGATCCTCAAGCCACTTCATCATAAACCACGCACTCAGGAACAGCTTTCCATGCTTCCCCCGGACACCAAACCTCTAATTCCCACCCACCTGCTGACACACTTTCTAGAAAGACATCTGCGGACTCCCAGTTCTCTTCTCATTTCCCTCTTCCCAGCCTCTGTGTGAACTGCTGCGACCATGAGGTGCCATCCCGTCCTGCCCCTGTGCCCCAGCTCATCCGCATCCCGATGTCTGTGACAGCACCCCTTAGCCATGCCCTTGACATACTGGGTAGACATCGCGTCTTAAGCCTGAAGAGCGATTTGCTGAGGTATTCATGCATGCTACACATCAGATGTAAGACATATGAAGTGCTGGTGTTTCTTGGCTGACTTCTCTCTTCCCCAGATTATATCAATAAGTGTTTTCTAGGTCTCCTAACTCAGCTAATAGTCACCTCGAGGCCCATCTTATGTAGGCCTCTTTTGAAACACTTGAAGGAAGACGGTAGAAAAAGCTTCTCAGATGCATCCCTTCTCAAGTCCTTCACTGGTGCTCCCGTGCTGCAGTGCACACTTCCCAGTTCATCTCGAATTACAAGGAACTCGGACGTGTCTAGGTAGACACACAAGTAGCTACACACGTGCACTGCTGCTCCCCGTGCTTCCAGAGTCCTGGGCACAGTGAGCTTTCAGGGACATCAGTTCACCTCCAAGGACAGAAGCTCACACCCTAGCTGCCCTGCAGGCCAGAGCCCCGTGAACAGTCCACCTCCTCACTGAGACAAGCAACACGAAACACGGCAAGGGGACAGCGGTGTCCAGGATATGGTCCATCCCAGAGAAAACTGTACCAATATCTAATAAGGCAGCAAAGTACATTACCAGAGTGACTTTTCCACAATTTTGGTCCTAAAAACCTCCTCCTGGTCCAGGTTCACAGTGCAGAAGCAGTCCCTCATCTTGTTCGGCCCCGGGTAAGAGGGAAGGTTTTTGGCTTCACCTGAAAAGAAAAGGTAACATGTATCATCAGCTTAGCATGGAAATGTCAGTCCTCTCACTACCTACAGACACATTTCCAAATAACGGATTGACTTTACAGCAAGGCACCGCTTTTACTGAAGTACCTTCACTAGCTCTTTAGAGTCTTGGTTTTCTTGCTACCACAAGGGAAAACACTGACACAAACATCATTTCTGCTGCTGAAATGCAAGGTAACATGCACATCTCCCTCTACAGCAAATGGTGAAAGGAGGAACCTGCCTGGGGACTAAGGGTTATTTGTTTCACCCACATCAGTCCCTTTAACTTCTTTAAATCTTTATTTTAAAATGAAATACACATAACATAAAATCTGTCATCTTAACGGTTGCTGAGTGCATGGTCCAGTGGTGCAGCACACACCCACACCATGCAGCCGTCACCAGCATCCACCTCCAGAACTTTCCATCCTCCCACACTGACACTCAGCCCCCATGAAGCACTAGCTCCAGGTCCCCCCCCCCACCTCTGGGACCCTCCCTTCTACGTTCCGTCTCCATGACTTTGACTGCTCCAGGACCTCATATGGATGGAATCCTGCAGTGTTTCTCCTTTTGTGACTAGCTTATTTCACTTAGTATAATGTCCTCAAGTGGCTTCCACACTGTACCCTGCGATGCGATCACCTTCTGTTGTATGAACAGGCCACATTTGCTTGTCCACTCATGCTTCAGGTCTCTTTCATTTTGAATTTAATTTCATAGTATTAGGTCACAATTAGAGCAACAGTCAAGGAGAAGGACTCTTTTTCACTGACAAGATTTATAGTTTATAGTTTAAGCTCCAACTGTTTAAGGTACACAGTGATTTGCCAGTTAGGAAATGTCCAGAAGGAGAGACTTGATAGGGTCTATGTCTTCCCTTCCACAAGCCCTTGCTCCACAGAGATACTCCCCAAAACAGAGACACATGTTTGGAGCCAGTGCCCACAGGCCCTGCAGAAAACACCTGCAAGATCCCAGCTCCTCAACTGCCCCAGGTCTGTCCTGAGGTCACTTCCTCTGCTGGAAGCTCACAGCAGGCACCAGTGGCAGGGTAAACTGGGGTAAGCAAGGATGAGACAGCCATGCTTTGGGCACAGACAGCAGGTGCTCTGTGGGAGAAAAGCCTCAGACACACTTTCACCTCCCAAGAGACTTTACTGGTCTCTGAGGCATTTTGATTCTAAAGGCGTGGGCACTGGGTGTCCACAGGCATCAGACACAATGCAGGACAAGAGGGAGAGGCCCGGTACCCAACCACACCAACAACACACCAGGGCACACACCAACTCCTGCCAGTTCCACTCAGGACCAAATTACCTTATTCTTGTTGAGGCTGGGGGGGTACGGAGGGGAACAGAGCAGAAGGTTCTCAGAGCTCCACCTTCAGAACCTGCGCTGAACGCCCAGCATGCATCAAAGCAACAGTCACGCTTTCTTTTGCAAAACTCCAACAAACACATACATTATAACTCAGGAAAATTAGTTCATCTGAAAAGATGCCAATTTGCAAATTGATGTGACAGAAACTCCAAAGGGCAGAGATAAACTCGATTTGTTTGAAGCTTTTTAAAAACTTTTCATTAACATTATTAACTTGGGACACTGAGTGAAGGAGAAGTTAACAGCAATCCTTCCACACCACATGAGTGTTTTGTGTCAATAAATTTTACTTCTGATGCCTCAAAGTGCTTCCTAGGATTTCTAACAGCACCAGTCTCGTGTGCATGTGGCCACTTCCACACACAGGCCGCACACAGGGTTTGCCTCTCTGGGCCTCAGTTCTTTCAGCTATAAAAGCAAGAGAACACACTAGTTCTAGAAGGCTCCTCCAGCTCTAGACACTTCTAACTCAACAGGTTCTGGAAATTTTTCTTTTGGGAATCATCGATGACTATCGGTTGGTTAAAATATATATATATATATATATATATATATAAAAGATAGATATATGAATGTTTTCTTTTAGCCACTGTTATCCTTAAAACACCCCAACATCACAACTGTCCCAGGACATGCCATCTTTACTTGGGTTGAGCATGGTGAAAGCTCGCCCAATCTGGCAAGAGGCACGTGAGTCTGAGCCAAGCTTCAAGTCAGCCTTTAAATGTCAAAAGGCAGATTTTCTGGAGGCTGCCCCAGATGTGAAGGTCCCACATGCACACACTTGCACATGCTGGGTGTGTGAGGGATTCACAGGCACAGAGGGAAAGAATGTGGCTCGGTGGGCTTCTCCAGAGACGGGGGGGAGGGGGGCGGAGACTGGCAGATGACAGCTGCGGTTCCAGGAGCAGACGCAGCCTTCTCGTCACTGTGGCTGCCACTGCACACACCCAACACGTCTGAAATGGCCTCTCAAAAGCTTGGCTTTTTCGACCTTCCAGCTGACACCTTGATGATGTGAATTAGGCTTTCCATGTTTCCCTTTGGATTTTAATTGTTCTGTTTTGTTTGCAACAATTAAGTGTAGACATATAGCCACAAGTTCCTGAGTTTCTTAACAGAAAAAAAATACTTTTTGGAAGTCCTATGGGAGATGGTCTTTGACGGAAAATACAAAACTGAGATTTTGTTCCTGTTTATTATCCAAAGAACCTCAAAGCACAAGCAATAGCAGTTGACACTTCTCTTAAGGGCGATGACTGTGAGGGCAGAAGAGGACACACCCTCTCTGAACAACTTGTGAGACAGACGATTAAAAATGTGAAAATGCCAGATTTGTTGTGCTGGTTTTAATGCAGCCGAACCACATTCCTCCCCGCCCCACATGCCCCGATCCAGACTGCCGTAGAAACACCAGAGAGCCAGCTGGTCACCCTGAGCCAACACAAAATAAGCCACTCAGACCAGGAGCGCCGGGAGCACACCCAGCACTCGGCCCTGGGCCACGTCATCTGCCTGGGTCCCTGTGGCTCCACAGCCCCACAGCTGACTGGGAAGTGGGTGCCCCGCTCCCAGGTGGCCATTTCTTCTCCACCCAAAACAGGACGTTGTTTCTTCCACCTTGATTCCACACGCCACAGGCCAGAGGCTGTTTTCCCTCCTACTTGCATATTATGGTGCTTTTCTGTCTCTCAGAGGAAAAGAACTTTCTCTTTTCTAGCACATGTAGATGTTCACACAAGAAGGTGCAGCTGGCCCTTGGTATACACACAGTAGGAACTGAACTATCTGTTAAGGAACGAATGGATGAATCAATGACTACAATGTAAAAAAGGTGAACTCTGGGTTCACTCTAAGAGCCAAATAAGCAACCATTCCCACAGACCCTTCTCCCTGCAATCACGTCTCTCAGATGCACGCTGTCTGTTCCCCGCCCGTAACTGCCCACGAATGGATCTGACAAAGACAGCAGGAATGGCACCTGATACCATCTCTGAGAACCTAGTTTATTAACAGGAGTAAAAGGCAGCACTCAAAAAAGAACAACATAATCAGCATAAAACAGCAAAACCCCATCTCTAATCACAGGTATCAGGCAACGGGTTAGGAAACAAAGGCCTGGTCTGACAGCACCGTTGCTCCCAAGCCACCCTGGAACAGTTCACATGCCACGGCAGGGCCTGCAGCTCACAGCAAACCCCGCTGTGAAGGCAGCTGGGGTCCCACATTGACCTGGAGAGGGCGACGAGCCCGTGTGGACGCCCTGCCGCCTGGAGAGGCCCTGGAAGGTCTCAGTGATGGGCTGGATGTGCTCCGGGTGCTGAGTAAGGCCTGTCTGGAAGGACACAGCCTCGGACAATGCCCCGCACCCTGAGAGGGGATGTCAGGGGCCTCAGGTCTTCAGACCCTTCCTCGGTGCCGCCCTGACCCTGGGCAGTGAAGAGGCGTCTCACCCACATCACCTCCGGGAACCAGGGCCAACTCCCGTAGAAACGTCTTGGAGTGAACACCACAGATGCGCTGGAATCTACTGTGTCCACAGAGCTCTGGAACTCTGTTCTTCCCTACATAATACACAGTGTTTTCCACCTCAACTACAGGCACCCAAGCCTAGCGCACTAGTCCAGAAAAAACAAGCCCCTCCAGCGATAAGGCCCAGCGGCCTACAAAACAGCCGCTTGACTGTGCTCAGTCTTGGGCAAGCCTTTTAGTCATTCTGACTTGAAACATTTAAATAGGCCTAAAAATTCCGTCAGCCGATAGCACATGATAACAACCTGAACGTGTTTCCCCCAAAGAACAGTTTTATGATTAATTCTATTTCCTTGAATACATTCACTGCTTTACTATTTTTGCTCTACATTAAATAGAAAACTCCATAAATCTGGATTAGGCTGGATTTCTGAATTGCCCTCTAAACAGCCTCGTGAACTGCACACTGACATACAAGTCTGGAAAACGTGGCGTCAAGCCACCTGGACCCCGTGCGGCACCATCCAGCCACATCATCACAAGCACCATGGACGTCTGCTCCTGGAAGGTGGGTGGTGCGGGAATAGCTCCCTGCAACAGTTTCAGATTTCCTCCGATTTCCACAAAGGATGCATAGTACATTACAATATGAAAAACAAGTATAAATAAGGTGGTTTAAATGGGCACAAAAAGTTTGAAATGCAGTAAGAGGAAGGAAAATCACATCTATCCACCCCAACAAGTGAGTCAGTATTTAATAGAACTGAGTTTCCAGCAGCTAAGGTAGAAATGGAAATACAGTGAAGACACAATTCTCATGATTAATTAAAAAGTGAAACATACCAGTCCTCTAGGAGGAAATAACCATTCTAGAACAACTTCATTGATCGACGCCTAACACAAAAGATATGAAATGATAGATCAGGCACGTCCACAGCAATTTTATGAGATACAGGAACACGCTTTGTCAAGAGAAGGGGAAGCAAGATGAAAATTAGAATCTGAGATTTCTCAGCAGGCATCTATTGATTCTGAGCTAGAACTTCACTCACTTAGAACCAGCATTTCCACTCCTGACCCTTCATCACAAAGCCAGGCTCCTGGGGACATCGGTGCCTAGGA